GTTATTCGACTTATTTTCAACAACACCAAGAAGGTATCGTTTACAGTATATAACTTTCTTTTATTTGTTGGATTGTTCTTCTCGTGGTTGCTAACTTCTATTGATTATTTAATTTTTGAGTGGTTACTAACTCTCCGTTGGTTAGTAATCAATCCTAATACAGTCAGACCTCTCTAAGTGCACGCCCTTGGGACCACACTTTAATAACGTTCATATAGAGAATAATAAGAAAAAGTGCATTTTAAGGAGGTCAAATATATATTTGGGCCGGCACTTAAGCGTGCATTTAGAGAGGGTATGCACTTATAGAGGGTGCACTTAGGGAGGTCTGACTGTAGTTCGAACCCAATGGTTGATCCGAATCTCAATCTCACAGCCGATATGACTTATCGACTCCGTAATAATAACGTACATACTGTATGTAAGAAATTTATTCAAAGTTTTATTATGACAGTATGTTTAATTTTCTAAACAAAATATTTTTTATTTTTAATTATATATCTTGGACATGGATATTTAAAAAAGGGTTTGAACTTCAAAAAAAACGGTTAGTGTATTGAAAAATTTGTAATAATTAGGGAGGATATCCTGATAGCATCTCTATTTGTTCGAACACTATTTGTTAATTTGTTTTCATTATAAATATTTCTAATGAATATTATCATTTTTGTTTTTGATTAAATAGAAATAATTCTTGTTGGCGTTTGATTGCAGTGTGAATTATCTTTAACACACACTTATTGTTATGGTTTTAAGCATCTAAACCTCATAATTGATTCAAATCATTTAATACAAAAGGCATTTCTAAAATATACGTATGCAATAAATGTCGCAAGACATGTACTGGTCGCGATATGGAAAATAAGAATATACTAACGCAGTTTGCCAAAAAGAACAGCTCGGAATAATGGCTAATAACAAATTGGTCATCAAGTACGTTGACTAGAACGAAGATACAATCAAAAGTAGCTATCACAACAGTGATAATTTTTTCGGTTTTAAGCTCAAATGATGTTGCAAACCCTTTTAAAAATAAAATCAATACATATCTTTTCATTGCTTAATGCTGTACATATAATAATCATGTGCGCTAAAATGATTGTCGTTTGCCCATTAGGAAACTGACAAAAACAAATGTCCGTACTTTAAGGTCTTGGAGTAATAAATCCCAATTTTTAACTGTTGATCCATATTATATCGAAATTAGATAAAGCCTGTTGTAAATCGACAGCGCCTGCTGCAGCATAAGGTTCGAACGTATTTAATTGAATATTAAATGGAAAAGTATTTATTTCAGTATCTTGAGTTAAATTATTGAAGATAATATGATCATTAATATGATGATTATTAATGATATGATCATCATCAGTAGGATTGAATACTTCCTCTTTTTGTGACATCGGTGACGAAAACATTGGTGACTGATTTGACGTAGAAGAATCTGTATCGTTATAAGATTCTTGCTCTTCTGACGTCGATTTAAAAGAAACAATATTCCATTGTTGTCTTTTTTTTTTTCGATCAGTTTTGGGAAACATCTCGCTTCGATATTTATATGCATCTTTGGCAAGTCGTTTATAAAATTTTTTAACATAAACTACTTCATTTTCCCATGATTTAGATGCTGCCTTCGATATTTCCGTCATTTGTAATTTATATCCATTTGCCCTCGCTGTCTGAACGAATAATTTTCGATAAATAATGAATGCATTTGGCGATCGTCGTGGTTTTTTGCCATCGGTTGGTTTCAAGATCAAGTCTTTAGCTTCAATAGAAGGTGGAAACTTCATCTTGATATCGTTTGGATCTTTGTTTGTAGGTGCTTCTTTATTAACCACAGTCGAGTCAACAAATACATGTTCATTGGCCATTTGTGTAATCATTTTTTATATAATTGTTTTTTCAATCATTTTTTTTTCAAGTTGACTATTCCTGAACATATTTATATTTATTTGTTTGTCAGCTGTGCCGGCAAAAAATAGTTCAATAATTTCTTTTAATAATACAAATCATACAAATCATACGTAT